ATATTATCAGCCAAGGTAGCCAAGCGGTTTAAGGCATGAACTGTCTTCCCTCGCTCGGAAACCGTGATCGTGGGTTCGAATCTCGCACAAGGCATGGATGTTTGCTATATGTGTACGTTTATTCTGTGTTTAAGCCTTGTGACGAGCTGATCACTCTTCCAAGGAATACTACCGTCTGTAAAACGATCACGAAACTGAAAACCAGAGGCCAGGGTCCAAGGGGGCTGTAGAGCCAGCGAAAAAAAAAATATTTATATTATCTATAACCGATTTCGGGAAATAGCCTAAGGTAACTTGAGTAAAAATTAGTATCTTAATGCAAAATTTGCTCAGGTTGATACATATTTCAAGGAAAAGAAACTATTTATAGGCATATAAATTTTGGGAATTTCGCGGTAGTATGTGATCACACTCCGATCTTCCGAGGTTATAACACAAAAAATCACAATCTGAAATTTAATGGGTGTTAGAACACACAAGGGCCAATCACAACGGTTGCATGGTCTAAGACATGGACTGTCTTCGCCCACTCGAAGAGTAGTATCAAGGGTTCGAATTCCACTCAAAGCATGGAGGTCTATCTGCGTTTATTCTGTGTTTGTAGTGTCCTGTGTAGGCAGTGGATTTGCGTCGGACTGATCTTCTTTCCAAGGAATCCTACCGACTGTCCAAATTAGAAACCGAAGTGAAACGAAGCGTTTCACAGAATCCCTACGCTCCAAGTGGGAGCAACAAGAAAGATAAAGGCGAATAAAGATTGGCTTCAACGTAATCTCAATACAGGTCATACTTTTATCTACTTATCTATGGCTCTGCAGCCCTTTGTTACGCCTTGGCCTCTTTTTCAGTTCCTTAATCTTTAAGTCATCGGTAGGACTCCTTGGACGGGGGATCAGCCCATCACAAGGCTGCTATCTGCAGACAGGGAATACACACACAGAATAAACCCACAGACATTAATGCCTCAAGTGGGATTCGAACCCACGACCCCATTGTTCGAGCGGGTGAAGACAGTGCATGCCTTAGAGCGCTCGGCTGCCGTGACCGGCAGTGTATAAGAATAATATATAAGAATTCAGTTCGTACCTCACAGGAAACAGATCCGAACCCACGACCCCAGTGTTCGAGCGGGCGAAGACAGTTCATGCCTTAAACCTCGCGGCCACTGTGGTCGGCTCATGCTCTTATGCTGTCCGTAATTATACGTCCATAATGACATGAAATTTCATAGAAATTATGAAACCACCTCAAATATAGAGATTAATATTAAATAAAAAAAATAAACTTAAATGGAAGAATGAAGCGCAGAATATATTAAACAGGGAACGAGTATGCTTAGAAAGTGACTGCAGACTGAAAATATAAGGACAAATAGTGGCCAACATTGAGATACAGCGAAACAAGGTAAAAATACACACACGCTAGAAGAACTGAAAAAGAAAAATGTAAATCAGTTAAGAACAGAAGCTAGTATGTTGACAATTATGGAGAAAATTTTGAGTATTTTAACAGTTTTAGTATGCATAGATAGCCTTTGAAATCATCTTAAAAGAAACCCTTCGTAAAACAATTTGTTACGTGGATCTCGTAAGGAACAAAAGGAACGAGTTAGGCGGTATGAATAAATTAACAATTTGGAACGTTGAATGTATACACTGCACTTGATGGTCAATAAATAGGCCTAAGTCAATAGACTCCATTGTTGTCTGAAAAGCTGTTATACAGCGAAGACAACTGTGACGCGCTCTACCCTAAAGTGTTTGTAGGATGAAGCTCAATAGCAAATGTTCAGGTAGGGTTTGGAGGCTTAATGCGCACCCAGAACACTAAAATTGGAGAACCACATTACAATTTTATATTCTTTATTCAGGTTTTAACGTTTCGCTTGCAGTCAGCTGTATGCCCTCTGTAACTCGTGCGCCATAACACTTTTCAGTTTCATAAGAGCCAAGCCAATGAATCAGCTGTCTGCTTCAGGCTAGTTTCTTGCTCGTCTTAGGACGGCCGCATACCACCTGCGTCAAGACAAGCATCAAGACATGAGACAAAAGACTCAGAATTGCTTCATTCTTGATTCGTCAGCATGAAGCTGACGTCAGCATCATAACTCAGACCGGTGTGCGGCTGTTTTTATAATCTCGTTCGTTTCAACTGTGCTCCTTTCTTTGTGTCATGTCGCAGACATCGTGTCTTGACTGTTACATGTCTTGATGCATGCCGGTGTGCGGCCTACCTTAGTTTTCGATCCTCAAGATGGGGGCGTCATGTTCGTCAGAAACATCCGTTGACTGTCAACGGACCACAAGGAATTATATCCCGGGAGATAGAATTGTTGCTTTTTTCGTGTTTGCAGTAAGACAAAATTTTACCTTAGAAGACAGAATTTCCAAAATATCTGAGTTGGATGTCCGCCAGAGTATGAAAATATGACACAACTACTTGTCAATTTCCTTATCTTACTTATCGAGAAAGTCAACACTCGAAAGAACGTGTATAATGGAAGGTTAGGGTCATAAGCAGGAGTAAGATATGTTGTTGGTAAGTCAAACTAAGCTAGTACAGAACTGGCTATTGGTTAAGAACCACTAATGAAAACGGGCAAGTCAGCTCTACGGATCCAGCTTTTCATTTGTTTCGTTGCCACAAATTCCTACAACCGAGTAGCAACAGAGAGCGAAATAAGACATAGCGGATTTTCGTCCCATCCCGTGAAAGTTATATATTTTATTCCTTATTTATTGTTTCCATTTCTGGAGGAGCCGCCAATTCAGCAGCTACTCAAGAATTTCTCAGCATTTTATGGAACCCGAAGGTTCATGCCGTGTTCACAAGAGCCCTCCATTTGTCCCTATTCTGAACCAGATAAGTCTAATCCGTACCATCCCATCTTATCTCTCTAAGACCCATTTGAATATTGTCGACCCACCTACGCCTTAGTCTTCCCAGTGGTCTCTTTCCTTCTGGTTTTCACATCGATATCGTGTATGCATTCCTCTTTTCCACCATTCGTGCTACATGCCTTGCACACACCATCCTCCTTGACTTGATCATTCTAATTATACTTGGAGAAGAGTACAAGTTGTGAAGCTCCTCATTATGCAGTTTTCTCCAGCCTCCTGTAACTTCGTCTCCTTTCGGTCCAAATATTCTCCTCAACACCCTGTTCTCAAACACACTCAGTGTATGTTCCTCCCTTAATGTCAGAGACAAAGTTTCACACCCATACAGAACCAGAGGCAAAATTATAATTTTGTATAAGTTATTGTTTTCGTATTGACTTATTATTCTCCGAAACACTGAAACTTCATCCCATACTGACACAGGTTTCACTAAGTTCTGCTAAATATTTGTGATTTTTTATAAAAAAAACGGTAATTAATCAGCATCACTAGCAGCAGACGTAATCGCACAGCGTCACAAACTCTAGATAGAGCTCAACTCGCTTTCAGACATCATTTCAAGAAAAGGATTTTTTTATGAAAAAATCACAAATGTTAAGCAGAACTTGGTGCAACGCGTGTCAGTATGGGATCAAGTTTCAATGTTTCGTATAACGATCAGTCAATGACCGTGAAGTCTAATATAGATGTACACTTTATAATCAGGACGCATCTTTACAAATAGAAAAATTGAATGGGGTGAAGTTCGGTGACCTCAGTGGTCAAACCAAAGGATCGGATCTTCTTCCACTCTATACTGGAGGCAATGTAATATCCTAATGTTGCCCAATGGGAACTATTTATTGTCCAATTCTGTATCATACAGCTGTTTCGGTCTGACACAGTGACTCAAAATAAGATTGTTGTATCTACTTCTTATTTTATTCCCCCAAATCTTGTTATGACACTGATACTGGAAGTCTAAACTAACCGTTTCTGGGAATATCTGAAGTCTGTCAATATCTGTCCTCTCAGATCCAGGCATCACATAGAGACGATGTCTGCAGATTTGCACCAGTGTTCGCGACCTGTGGGACCTGTCGCACTGTAGGGAGAAGCGTGGGAAGGCAAGTCTCGATAATAAGAGGAGGTAAAAGATAAAGATATTGCTTAACAGGTCATGGAGGCCCATAGGGTTGTGAGACATCGAGGCTCCCATCATTAAGCCTATTGGCTCACAGATGGCAGTAAGGTTGTTACACTTACGCTCCGGCCTCCATTTACCCCCAGGAAAATTCCTGGTACTCATTTCTATCAGAGGTTGAGTCGGCCCCAGGGCCATAGTGCGGCTGAAATGATGAAGTCAATTGAAAAATTCAATAACCTAATCAGGAATCGAACCTGTGACCTTATGGAAAATAAGAATCTAGCTAAACGGCTGTTAACAAGGACCACCTTGTACTGAGATCTTGCGTATAAGAAAACTTTGTTTGATTTTACGGGAAAGAATTCCTATACTCGTTAGATTATTTCTGGCGTCTTTGAGGGAGAAATTCCTCTAAATCAGAGTTCCTAACATTTCTGGATCACGAAACACTAAGTTCGTTCTCTTTGGCGGATTACTCGAATACTAAAAAGAAATATTTTAAATATTTATATAAAATGTTAGTTAAATGTAATCAATAATTATGTCCCTATGAGTTTTAAAATTAAAATAATAGAAATATTTGAAGAATTCCGTCTTCTGTGGTGTGACGCCGTGTAGATCCTGTGTAAACTGCAGACACCTGCTCACGCTGGTTCCTCGCTAGCGAATTTTTCTACCTTAAAGATGGAGGCTATACGTTCCTACGAAACGTCGGTTTACACAAGATCTACACGTCGCCACATCCCAGAAGACGGCATCCTTCATAGTCGCTCCCGTAAAAACCTCGAATTTTACAGTATAAATATTTTATCACAAAAATAACCTGTTTATTTGTACACAAATAAATTCCATGGGCCTGTAAAGGGAAGCGTATAACGTTAGTTTTTTCGCTGACCTTTAGAAAATCTACTCTAAAGCAACACTTGATCTCCACAGACACAATAGAAGTTCTGTTACTTTCATTACTTAGCTACCTTTCCGGGAAGTAAAGCTCAGGTGTGGCCTAGTGAGACGAGGCAAAACACGACGCCATCTGCATGCCAGGACCTGAAACAAAACAACTGGGGTTAGGTTACACGTGAGCTTTGTGGTAACTCTGAAACGAGAGGGGGTATAATGATGCAGCTACAGATATAACAGCCACTAAGACAACCTTCATGCTCCTATAATCATGAAATATTTATATGCCATAATTTGCCTTACCATGAGTTTACGAACGTATTGTTACCTGATATTATAAGAAATGCATCACAACATAATTAATTGTAAAAACGAATAATGTAATATAGGGACAACGAAATAGGGTAGGCACTAGCGTTTGCGAATGGGTCGTAACTCGATGAAATCAGAGACGGAGAAACGGAGAATAAACGAAGGATTTTATTTAGAGTATAAGATAAAAAATTGGGTATTTATTCTAATGTCTATATATTGATAAGGCAGATTTTAGAGGAAGGAGGAATTCTTTGTTTGCTTTAGGTATGCCGCACACCGGCATGCGTCAAGACATGTAACAGTGAAGACACGATGTCTGCGACATGACGCAAAGAAAGGAGCACAGATGAAACGAATGAGATTATGAAAACCGCCACACAACGATCTGAGTAATGATGCTGACGTCAGCTTCATGCTGCAGACACGTGCAGCAAGACTCGGCATGTTCCTTTTCAGTGCGTCAAGACTCAGACATCAGCACTCACAAAAAAAACTCCGTGGCCTGTTTTCCGCAAGCGAACTATACCGACCGAGCGACCGCCGCTTGTCGGCGAAGTCAGTGCCAACTTTAGCGGATAAAGAGTGTCGCGTGGTCAGCGCAACGGATCCCCACGGCCGTTAATCTCGGTTTTCTACACCGGTGCCTCTACTTTTCAATTAAAGTAGCTCCTGAATTATCCTCACGAAGCTGAGTGGACCTCGTTCCAGACTACTTCTCAGAAAATCTGGTAGCGCCGGGAATCGAATCCGGGACCACTGGATCTGTAGGCAGGAACTCTAGCAACTAGACCACAAAGGCGGTCATCAGTACTCACATGGACATCAAATATCTTTCTCGCTGGATGACGTCATGTCATGAACTAGCGATTATGTGATAAGACGCAGACACGTGCTACTTCGGTGTGCGGACTCGAGTCTGAATCACGAATGAAGCAAGACTGCGTCTTTTGTCTCATGTCTTGATGTCTGTCTTGACGCAGTTGGTGTGCGGCCGCCCTTAGCCTTCGGATTTGCAGATGGAGGCAATATGTTCCTCTGACATTTCGGCAAAGTTCCAATCGACTACCCAGTNCCTTGTACAGCCACTAAGAATGATAATATAATCGTCTGTCTGCTTCTCCCTATGTCCCTCTGTCGCACCCTGTTTGTTGCAGATAAGGAGACGTAGGAAAAAATAATAAATACAATACAAATTTGAGAGAAAAACTCGGAACAATGGTTTTGTTACTGCAAGATATGTTTTATTACTGTCAGTCCAAAATTGTTAAAACGTTTTAAGACGAGGTAAGTTAATACATTCTTGAGAATAATAAATACTTATTACTGATAAATTATTCCCGGCACGAATTTGGATAGTAGTCAGAAGGATATTTTTCTTCTTTTAAATTCGCTTAGTGGGGGGTGGAGTCCAACTGGGCCCACTTGGCACGGCGGCCACTGATTGGCCTATTGTAGCCTTCCCTGGGTGATTATTATGTTGAAGAATTTGGTGGAATGAAGATTGTCAGGTGAAACCGAAGTACTCGGAGAAAACCCGCCCCAGGGCCACTTTGTCCACCACAAATCCCACTTGACCAGATCCTGGATCGAACCCGGGCCGCCGAGGTGGGAAGCCAGCGACTAACCGCTTGAGCTATGGCGCGGCCAGAAGGATAGCTTACTACGGGATGAATGTCAAGGTTCCCAATCTCAGCAGAATCAGGAATTCTCTCTTCGTTGCTTTCTCAGGGAGGCCCTGGAGCCCACCGGACCTCCTACCATCCAGTGGGGCTTTGAGTACGCCTTCATGATGTGATGCTAGACACAAGGACAAATTTTCCTTCTCAAAATATTATCGCGGAAGTATGCGTCCCCATTGTAGCCGTTGCGCAGCGATGGACGACATATAACACAGCACATTATTCTTACTGTAAGCGTAGGGCTTTCGAACACACAAACATCTGTTTGTACTCAATGAAAAAGGCGAAGAATAAATTTAGTCTTGGAAACTTGTTACACGTTTCTGGCAAGATGACTCTGCTGTGAATTGTCCTGTGTGGGAGGTGCATGTCTCTGCAAGATGTTGCTTATCCCAGACATCTTTCATTTATCTTCAGTTCTAACACTGACACGTATTTTTTCAGGGACTGTGGGTATGCATAATTCATAGCGTTTTTAATATGACGAAGGTGTGTGGGAGGTATAAAGCGAATCGGCTGATACTGGTTCTAACTGGAAACACCCCCAGCCCTGCTCGTCTCTGTCTCAGCGCATACACGATACTAGTGCACGCGTCTTCCTCAAAGGGCTCAGTTATATTTTGCCTCAAAGGCTGTCCCCACAGCTCAGGCGGTTAGTCGCTTCTCACAGCAGCGACCCGGGTTCGAGACCGGGTCAGATCACGTGGAATTTATGGTGAACGAAGTGGCGCTGGAGCAGTTCTTTTCCAAGTACTTCGGTTTCTCCTGTCAAACTTTATTCCACAGTTTTTTTTTTCCAAAATCACCATCGTCTATCATTTGGGTCTGGTACAATAGGTCAGTAATGGCCGCAGTTCCAAGTGGACTCAGTCTCAACCCACTAATAACAATAATAACAAATATTTTCTGTGTGTAAGAGAAAATGTAGGAGGTCATTAGGAGCATGGAGGTAGCTACCAGTTAATTGAGGAAGGCGGCGCAGAGTGTTTCATGGAGTCATTTAGGTAGGTCTATTACTTTTCCGCATAAATCAAGAAAATTGGTCTCTCGCTTTAAGGGGGAAACCAAAGAATGATACTTTGAAAAGAGGGCGCTGCGAGAGTTTGGACCTAAGGGGAAGGAAATAACAGAAGCCTGAATAAAACTGTTTTAAATTGCAGTTTTCATCAAATATTATTATTAGGATAGCACCATGGAGAATAATACGGGAGGGACATGTCTCTTATATCGTGAGATAAGAAATGCATAACAATTTTTCGTTGGAAACTTGAAGGGATGGGGGAATGCGGTAACGTAGTTGATTGAGGCCCTATGTTACAAGCCTGAAGNAGAACGTATACAGTCAACTGCAAAATGCTGTAAGCTAATGAAACGTCCTATTAAAAACTGAATTCTATGCCAATACAGCTGTGAAGTTAAGATTTTTGAAAATGAACTGAGACTTGGCAGGGGGCCGGAGTAAATCAAGTCGCGGCCCGGATACGGCCCGCGGGCCGCCAGTTGGCCATTGCTGGTCTAGATAATGTGGGACCTTCAGCATCTCACAACCCTATGGGCCTTCACGGCCTGGCACAGGGACAGCTTTACTTACTTACTTTATATTAGCGTCTGAGCTTAAGTGACAGGATCCCAACCCAGAGCAGTTATGGCTCACCGAGTGTGAGTACCTGAACTAAGAACCCAACAGCCGATGAGCTACTGTTCACGTGACAAATTGCTCGGAAATGTTCTGCAGTCATACTGTGGATTGCAGAAGAACAGAAAACAAACTACGTTGACAGTAATGCAGAAAAGAGAGGGCAGTCCTGTAGGTTATCGCAGCAGAAATATAATTCATGTTGAATGTAACGTCGCGAAGAAATGTCTCCAGCGACCGGTCGATGCTTACTCGACGTCACTGCGGAATGTATGACGTCACAAAACGAGAGAGGCTGTCGATTCCACAACTGTGTATGTAACAGCAGACACTCGGATTGAGATACGGTGGGTTTCATTATTCTTTAGAAGAAAACGGCATGCAGAAGATATGGCAAATCAGTCCACACCTCGTAGCATATTCCTCATAATCCCATCTTTATGTCCCAAATGTATAACTACACTGCGCATGCCACAAATGAGATGTATAGTTCTGACAACCTTTGCTCTCGCCCGTACAGCTTTCAAAATAACAGTTTCTGTGACAAACAGTATAAGGGATGGGCCCTAAAATCCGGCCATTTCACCGTGACTTTCAATGATCTATCGTGCATCTCCTTTGGATTAAGCCTTTATTAATCCTACGCTTCGAATGACATGTAGGATTTTGTTTATGGGGGCGTCATAATAGTCACTTGGTTCCATGAAGAACTGGCCCAGGTGACGAAATCTTAAATAAGCTATGGCCTCACGATCACACAGGATATGTGTGTGGCTGATTCAACCTTTCAGAGGTTGGGTCATCTATCAGTCCCAGTTTGAAAAGGTGTCCTTTTAGGTGGCGGTGTCCAGTAAATAGTCCTAGCACCAATCTTAATTGGTCTCTGTTTAATTTCAACAGATCGTTCTTTTGGCAGAGGGCCCATATTTGTCTGTCATTTACAGTACCATGAAAAAGGAATTAGGTTGCCACTAAAGTATAAAACAGAATCACAGTTCTCTGAAAACATTTACATTAAACATATTAATCGTATAAAGGATTAAAATGCAATTATCATAATTAAAAGTAACTCGTTATAAGCGCTTTCGTTAATCACGGTTTTATTTCACTGTTAAGTGGAGTATCAATGTTCTATCGGGGACGGCAACAGAGCTTGGCCGCGCATGCGCAATGAGATGCGCAGGCAGTTTTCTATACTTGTCCCACTATTTGATTTTATGTCCTGTCCTACTCCACCATGCTCAGGTTTCATTACGTATGAAAGTTAACGCTATCCCTTAACAGGTCAAGGAGGCCCGTAGGTTTGCGAGACATCGAGGCTCCCACGTTTTATAGACAATTGACTCACAGATGGCAGTGGGCTTGTCAGTTTTATGCTTTGTCTGCGTTAATTGAAAATCCAATGACCTCATCGGAAATCGAACCCGCGACCTTCCGGCTTGTGGCATAGTGCTTCAGTCAACTACTTTACCGAGTGCCCCCGCTTGTAAACGTATCGGTCAATTAAATTAAGGCTT